TAAGAGTGAACGAACCAGAGAAAAGGGCGAAGAAACAAAGAACAATGGAGAGAGAGAGAGAGAGAGAGAGAGAGAGAGAGAGAGAGAGAGAGAGAGAGAGAGAGAGAGAGAGAGAGAGAGAGAGAGAGAGAGAGAGAGAGAGAGAGAAGATGTTGCTCAAGAGTAGACATACACGTACTTACATTTTTTTCCTCTGGAGACCGCCTGTAATAACAAAGAATCTGTGAGCAGGGGACACCTCAGTTCGTAAAACATGGCAGAGAGTTACCAATACACACCGAGTCAAGTGGTGAAACTTACAAGGAGACCAAACTGTAAACAAAAAAAGACTTATATCTGCGCTTACGTACGTTTCTGTACTGTACAAGACTCTTTGGCTGAAGGACATCTCAGGGCTCCGAGCTTGGAAGAGAGATACCATGTCGTGGAAACCGCTGGAAAACATACAAAGAGACAAGTAGAGACAGAGTACTAATATCAGATAATTCATAAAACATGCACACCTGTACTTTCATAATGGTTTTTCCTTTTGGCAGAAGTTTTATTACCGCTATGAAGTATTCTTTGAGGCGTGTCCCAAAAGGTGCATATTTCGTTCTGCAAATAGTTCCAGAATGGTGTGCCAAAACTTGAAAATTTTGTCGACTTGGTTCTACAGAAGTGTTAACCAAAACGAGCAGTTGCTTTCCTAACGATTATGTGTGTTTTTGTGTCAGGCATCTATGTTCAGAACTCTAATCGTTAACATAAACAAAACATTATCTCTCTCCGTCTCTCTCTCTCTCTCTCTCTCTCTCTCTCTCTCTCTCTCTCTCTCTCTCTGGCTTGCCACCGTCCCACCGAAGTGGACTGTAATCAAGGTACGAGTATTTTGACTTCTTCCCAAGTTGGTGTTTTTTTTAACTATGGTGTTTTTCCCATGCCCGTTCCTAACAAACTGACGCCATGTGGTTAGTGAGCAACACGAGTGAGGTTAGGACAAGAAAATGATAATGTTGATAATAATAATAATCTTCATAACAATAACAAAAATTAAAAAACTAAAATAAGAAGAAGAAGAAGAAGAAGAAGAAGAAGAAGAAGAAGAAGAAGAAGAAGAAGAAGAAAAATAATAATAATAATGATAATGATACTAATAATACTAATACTAATAATAATAATAATAATAATAATAATAATAATAATAATAATAATGATAATAATAATAATAATAATAATAATAATAGTAATAATAATAATAATAATAATAATAATAATAATGATACTACTACTACTACTACTACTACTACTACTACTACTACTACTACTACTACTACTACTACTACTACTAATATAATAATAATAATAATAATAATAATAATAATAATAATAATAATAATAATTATAATAAAAATAATGATAATGAATGCATGTATCAATAATTATTCATAAATAAAATAAATAAATAAATAAATAAATAAATGAAAGTGAAATATTTAAAAATGAAATAAAAGAATGACATGAAACTCAAAACTTACTCGGCTGGCATGAGATTTGAGTTTCTATCAAATTAAAACACAACATCAAACTCAGCATACGTCATAGAGCAACTAAAAGCTAAAAGGTTAGTTGAAACTCTTTTAATACCTAATTTCCTCTGCTCCAAATGAGTCACAAGGCGGGCATTTCCCTCATTCCCACTCCCTAATGGAGACAACGACCTAACAGTTTTTAGCGGTCACACTACAGAAAATGGCCCAAACTTTGTGCACTCAGTCTTAGCTACATGTGACCTTTGGTTAGTGTTATTCTACTCTACGGGGCAGGACCAAGTAAACGAAAGAGGCTCACAATGAATGCACGCGAGTCTAAAGCCAGTCTAGAAAACATCAACCCCGATACTTTAACTATAACAACAACTTAATTTGACACCTTTGGTTTAGAGATAGGAAGAGCCAGTTCCCCTCTGGCCCTCCGTCTATCTCATAGACTACAAGATGTCAAGTTTGAAACCAAAAAAATTTTCCTTTTAGCATCCTCACTGACCCCAACCTCCTTCCCCAAGAAACAACAAACAAACAAAAATTCCTTCCCTCAAAACGAATTCCTTTAAATTCTTTAACATTGTTGAAAAGACTGAAATACATCCCTTTGGACTGGTATGAAACTTGCATGCTTACACATGAGCAAGAGAAAGGCTTAACTGAATGGTTAACAGGGACTATTAGTTGATATTAAAGACTGATGCACATCCTACCATAACAACCAAAACTGAGGCGTCTTATCTAGCTATAGAATTAAAGGATAAGAAAAATTCGTGCATATACAACTCATACACACACAAGCAAACACATTCACACATACAAGCAAATACGCTCACACATACAAGCTCTCCTCCAGTGAGTGTGCTCGCTCCTCCCACAAGAGCAGCACGTCACCAGTCGGCCCATGTCGATGTTGTCTGAATGACGTCAATCAAGACTGGTCAGTCCCCTACATCGCCCAGGTAGATGGAACCGAGGTCATAACACTGACCTCCTCTGTCTGTGACCCGGGGGGGGGGGGGGGTTAACGTCAGAGGACTCAGAGCATGACAAAAGGATGCATGGGTGAACTTACAAAAAGACACACAAAAAAGGATCAACAAACAAATACACAAATCAATGACTGAGTGAAAAACTACAACAAACATCAAATAGCAAAATGACGTTTATCGAGGTCTAACTTCCAGACATCGAAATGCAGACTTACTAGACTTACTTACACTTCTGTACTGGCGTTATTAAAGTTGAGCATCAGGATGAAGTCCAAATCCAAGGGTGGTCGTCAGGATGAAGTCCAAATCCAAGGGTGGTCGGGGGTCCTAGTCGGTGCTCAGCTGCTGTGGTGCGCGGAGAGAATTCCATGCGCTGAACCTCAACAAATCCGCGGCGCTCCAGCGTTGACGGGGTTCCTCATGCAGCAGTTGGAGTAGGATCCTCCTGTAAGGTTCCTTTATGTTGCTGCAGTTGTCCGTCGAGGCTAGCGGGTGGAAGTCGACGGTGTGTCGTTTATAGATAAGCATCCACATGGTGATTCCAAGGCTGTACATGTCCAGCTGTGGAGGGAAACAAGAAGAACGTGCGGAGATTAGTTGGGCCGAGGAGAAATCATTGATGATGCATATGTGTGTGTGGAGGGGGGAGACACACACACACACACACACACACACAGAGAGAGAGAGAGAGAGAGAGAGAGAGAGAGAGAGAGAGAGAGAGAGAGAGAGAGAGAGAGAGAGAGAGAGAGAGGAAGGAAGAGAGAGGGGGGGGGGTGAATTTGAAAGAAACATGTTCGTAAATAAATTAATGATTAACAATAACTGTAGCAATAACAATAACAGTCATTATAATAACATACGCTCCTTAGATTAAAGCTAACAAATAAGCAGAAACTTAAACAAGCAATGAAGAAATAGACAGTTTGGGATTGGGAGGGGAAGGGAGAGAGAGAGAGAGAGAGAGAGAGAGAGAGAGAGAGAGAGAGAGAGAGAGAGAGAGAGAGAGAGAGAGAGGGGGGGGGAGAGATCGAGAGAGGGGAGGATAGGGTTATAATTATTGTTTTTATTATTATCAATATTATTATATGTTATTATTATTCTTATAATTATTATTATTATTATTATTATTATAATTATTATTATTATTATTATTACTATTATTATTATTAGTATTATTATTTATCTTTTCTATAGCGTCCACTCCTGCACATTACAGTACTAGGCACTCTGCAGTACCTTCATAACATGATACATGTACTATATAAATATGAATACATTATGTTTGTGATGGCTCATACACACACACACACACACACACACACACACACACACACACACACACACACACACACACACACACACACACACACACACACAAATGTAGACAGTCTTTCTGTCTTCCCTTTTCTCTCTGTATCTCACTCACTCGTTCTCTCACAAACATACACATAAGCGTGCGCACAAATACCTGCATAAAGTGCTCGCATACGTGTCTCATACAAAATTCATGTACAAGTAAATAACTGGGTATAGCATTGTGTACCCTCCTTACGTTAAATCTAACACAAGATAAGACACTCACTATCAATGACAAACTAGATGTATAAAGGGGTTGGGAGAGTGAGAGTGTGTGTGAGAGAGAGAGAGGGGGGGGGGGGGCGAGGGTTGAGGTAAGAGGAGAGAGAAAGAGAGTGAGGAGAACATGAGAGAGATAGAGAGAGGGAGGGTTGTGTTGCTTTGAAAATGTGTATGTTAAATGCATCCAATCTAGTTCATAAAAATATGGAAATGAAAAATTGGTAAACATCAAAGGTAGAAGAAAAATTGACAGAATAAAAAGGGGGTGATGGTGCTTTCAGTTTAGTTAACTATTAAATAATGTATCATAATAAGAGAGACAGAAAGGGGGGAAAGAAAGTAAAGATATAAAGAGATGGGGCTAAGCTAGAGAAAGAATGAAAAGTGCGACAGAGAGAAAGGGCGAGAAAAGGAGAAAAGGGAAAAAGAGAGTGTGAGAGAGATGACGATGGGATATAGAGAGAATGAAAGGTGAAATACTGAAAAAGACAGCGAGGGGCAGAAAGGGAGATTGAGAGAGCTGGGTATGAAATACAGAAAAAAATGAGAAGTGTGATATAGTAAAAGAAAAAATAAAATCCTTCTTACCTTGAATGGGCACATGGGCCGACCAGCCTGCGTCTCGGGTCCGTAAAAGCCGGGTGTAGACACCCACTCCTCCACCATGGCCTCGCTGTCCCTCAATCGTATCGCCAGCCCGAAGTCTCCGAGAATGGCACGGTCCTGTGTATCCAAGAAAATGTTCTCCGGTTTCACGTCCTGGTGAAAGATGTTGCGGGTGTGGATGTAATCCAACGCGCTCGCCACATCCAGGGTGTGTCTGAGCATCCTTGGTCCTTTGACAGGTCCTGACATGGTGTCGTAAAGTGTCCCGTTCTTGTAGTAGTTCATGAAAATGAAGCCATAGGCCGAATTCCATGACGAAGCTACGATCTTCAAGATATGAGAATGGCGTAGATGGCGAAGTAAAGCGACTTCTTCGTCGAACTGGTTTTCCCATAGCTGCCTCTCGAGATATACTATCTTAACTGCCACTTTCAACGAAGGGTCGTGTTTGGCCGAGGCCAAAACAACCTCTCCTGAGCTTCCACGCCCTAAGGGCGGGCCTTTCACTAGGTCGAAAGCGTGGAAGATATCATCTCGCTGATCAACAATCTCCATTCTGCAAAGTGACTCCAAAAGAACGACGTGTATGACTCAGTGATACTGATGGAATCCACCAACGATGTGAATGATCCAGATAGAGACTCCACAAACGTATCCTTCGAACTACAAGACTGAAGTGACCACATGCAGACAAACAGTGCCCCTTATATACTCAGCTCGCTGGCTGGAAAGTGAACGAATTATTTTGTCCTGATTACGGCATTGTTGTGGTGTTTTGAGATCTGGCCGACAAAGAAAATATTACTGCAGCTTCGTTTTTGGCATCTGACGTTAACAAGTCTATTGTCTATTGTCTTGAGTGCCAGGGGAAATTTTCAGTCAAGGGGAGTGAATTGTGTATGTAGTGACAATGACCGCTTACATTAAAGACATGCCGACGTTTTAGAGCCCATTATGAAGCTGGTCAGGTACTGAGCGAAGTTTTGAATCTTTGAACATGGCATTGTTGTCTTGTTTTGACAGTCGGTCTAGGGGCTCAGGGGGTGCGGACACGGTCCCCCACCACTTTTGTTTCTTGCTTTTTGTTGATTTCGTTGTTTGTATCTTTTTGTGGGGTTTTGTTTTGTTTAGAGTGTTGTTGGGTTTTTTGACCAACCAGATGTGTTTGTTTAAAAGGAGGTCTAAACGAATGTGCTCTGTGTTGTCAACCAACGACTTACTTCAAAGACATGTCAACACATCAGTGTTCGTTATGTAGCTGGTCAGGTGGTGAAGGAAATTTGGATGATCCACAAACGGAAAGTGAGCGAATTTTTTTGTCTTGATTACGGCATTGTTGCGGTGTTTTGAGATCTGTATTGTTCTCTTATTTTCACAGTAGGTGTGGAGGGTGGGTGGAGGTGAGAACAGGGGACCATGGTTGCTTTTGTTTTGGGTTTGTTGTTGTAACTTTTGTAGCTATAGTTGTAGGTTTTGTTTCTTAACCAGTCAATTCAACTCGTTTGAAAGAGAATGCATCGGTAAAAAGGGGTTAACGGATAGGCGCTTTACCATCGCATGCAGAAGACTCGAGTTTGATTCCGTGTAGGGACAATTTTTATCGAGAATATCAGACCTCGGTCCTGTTTGTCAGGACATTGTATCCCTCCTGTCCCTTGCAGCCCCTGGCAAGTGGTGTCGAAGCCCAGCTCCAAAATGGTCCTGTATTGATGGGGACGTAAAAATGCCCATGTATTTTTTTGTTTTGTTTTTTTTTATAACTGCGCCATATAATTGATAGTCAACCCGTCAAGCAGCGGCTTACATCAAAGACATAATGTCTTTGGATCACCGCCCCTAATGTACCCCTGCTAGCTGGTTAGGTAGTGAATGAAGTTTTGAATCTATGAATATGACATTGTTGTCTTGTTTTGGCGGTGGGTTCAAAAGTGACTGGAGGTGAGAACCTGGGGACCTTGGTCGCTTTTGTTTTTGCTGGTTTTGTTTGGTTATTTGTTTTCTAAACAAATTAGACTCACTCGTCTGAAATGGGGGGAGGGGTGTAAATGAATGCGGCATGTGTAGTCACCAACAGCTTACATCAAAGACATGTCTGTACAGTTCAACGTCTATTATGTACCCTTGCAGGATGGTGAGATTGTGAACATTGTTTTAAATGTATGAATATGGCATTGTTGTCTTGTTTTTGACCATGGATTCAAAAGTGTTTGGAGGTGAGAACATGTGTCCCTTGGTCACTTTTCTTTTGCGGGTTTTGTTTGTTTGTCTGTTTGTTCTTTTTATTAGCCCAGGGAGACCCGCTCGTCTGAAAGGGAGTTCTAAATGAATGCTCCGTATGTAGTAACCAGCGGCTTACATCAAAAACATATAGACATCACAATGAGGTCTTGCCATCTGACGAAATATCCAGACAAAGGGAGCGAATTGCGTATCCAGTGATAAAGGCCGTTTACATCAAAGACATGCCCACATATCAGTGTCCGTTTGTGTCGCTTGTCGGGTAGAGGATAAAGTTTTGGATTTATGAATGTGGCATAGTTGTCTAGTTTTGACACAGTGTCTATATGATTTGTTCGAAATGAATGTGCATGTTAACCAGCGGTTTACATTTTTTTTAAACATGCCAAAACAACAGTGTTCGTTATGTTGTTGGCCAGTTTGTAAACAAAGTTTTGAATCCGTGAATATGGTATTGTTGTCTTGTTTTGAAACTGGTTCGCACAGTGAAAAAAAAAGATGAGAAACTGGGTCCATGTCTGCTTTCCTTTTGTATATTTGTTGCTGTTGTTTGGTTGTGTTTTTTAAAAACCAACAAAAACTGCTTGCTTTGCAGCCGCACGCTAAAGACGCAAGTTTGATCTTCGGATAGGGTGAAATTTATATCTAGTGTCCTTGTGCTGTGACGGTGAATTCTATCAACCCGAGTCTAAGGCTGCCTCCAAATGATCTAAATTGTGTCGACCGAGGCGTAAAAATTACTTACATCAAAATAGGGTTTCTAATCAATGCGCTACAAGTAGTCAAGCATACATTAACATTAAAGGCATGATATCTTCGGTTCATCGGCCGTTACGAACCCCGGCTGGCTGGTCAGGTAGTGAGCGAAGTTTTGAATCTATGAATAAGAGTGACTGGGTGTGAGGACATGTTGTCCTTGGTCGCTTTTGTTTTGTTGGTTTTGTTTGTTATTTTCTAAATGAATGCTCCATGTGTAAACAACGGTTTACATCAAAGACATGTTGACATCTCAGTG